ACACGATAAACTTACTGCGGCACTCTAACAAATAGTCCCATTAGTTTTTGTTTTCCTTTCTCCGTTACATTTACACTGTTGTTCTCATCTTCTATCACACATCAACTTTACTTTTCATATCCTGTAGTGCATTGTTTGAAATGAAATACTCTACGCTGTTTGTTTTTTTCTTAATTTTTAATATTTATTTATTTTATTTATTTATAACTTATTTATTTTATTTTGATTTATCTTTGATTTTTAAACATCTTATATAATTTATGAGGTAATTAGATGCAATATACTGTAATGCACGCTGAAAATTCCATACCTGTACCACAAATACTGTTTGGAATAAAGCTGTAATTATTATTATTATTAATTACTGACAGAGTCTCAGCACGAATACAAAATTATCGTTTAACATTTACCAATTTCAGTCATCTCTGGGATAGACGTGATATCTGACTGCCGATTAAACGACATGTGTACTGCTCTGAAGTTCTCTCCGTCCTCCTTCATGGCTGTGAAACACGGTCATTGAAATTAGAAGATAACAAAAGGTTAGATATCTTCGATCATATTTGTCTGCGTACTATCTCCTGTGTTCAGCGGTATAATAAGCCGATTAATATTGAGGTTAGGTGACAAGTGTTAGGTATGGAGGGTAAATCAGCAGATGAGGTTGTTTATCTACACTGATTGAGCTGGCTAAGATACGTATTGCGTCTACGCAGTCATAACTATTCCCGATAGGCAATTGTTAGCTGACATAGTGGTGGTGGTCAAACCAACACTTGAAATCAGTCCATGTGAAATCTTCAACAGTTAGTTTAAGCCATGTAAGGGAGTGCAAACAGTCTAGTTGGCGTTTGCGAGAAGCTAAGAACCAATAGCTTGAGACTGTTTATGATATGGATCAAAATCATTTACCACTGGCGCAGATGCATTTACTCTTTATAATATTCCAAATCTCCATAGTGTAATCAGAACAAGATAATTTTGAGTGAGCAGTTGTTTTCAGTGAGACAGATAGCTAAGAGACGTCTCTTAGCCATAGAGATTATTAAGAGAACATCTGACATATGTGTTCAAAAGAAGCATATTTATCCCCCCCTCGCCTACTGCAACGTCATCAGGGACATAATCATCTCATATCTTAATATCATGTTGTGTCTTTCTTATTCCTTTTCACCTAGTTCACTTTACTTGATTATGACCTTTATTTTGTGTCAAACTTTTGTAATTTACACTAAGCTTATGATGTCTCTAGTATTTTATCACGATTCACAATGTAACCTCTGTTTTAGTACTACACTTGATATATGTCAGCTACATTCATTAATCAGGCTTCTACGCTCTTCTAATCGAATTATGTCCTACCAATTACTGGCCGTGGCTGCTACTACTACTACTAATTATAGATGGTTTTAGTCACTTGCTGCAATGGCTTGGCCGCTTGATTGATGTCGAGAAGACGACTCAACCTGACTATTTAGAGGAACTAAGCGTAGTAACAAGGTTGCTGTAGGCGAATCTGGGTGCTTATCCTGTCACTTGCTCTGACGGTGTTCTTTTGTTGCCAGTTCTGTCAAGTGTGATGAAGACAGTGAGCGGCCTAATCTGTCTGTCTGTCTGTTTTCGACATAGAACTTTGCACAAATGTGCGGCAGTTCAAGTCGCCACACTCCATGTAGCACGCGAAGCAAGAGAAGAAAGTACAAGAAAAGCATAATAGAAACAGTGAGCAGAGGTGTGAGACAAAGGAGTAATAAAGAAATACAAAACAGTTTCATTGAAGATCATAAGTCACAGGGAGTGGATGCATCTGCGCCACTGAGAACGATTTTGAGCCATGTCACCAAATGTTTCCAACCATAGATTTTTACCGTCCCGAGGACCCCAGCCTGGAAGCCAGTCTACACCCTCCTACGTGGCTTAGACCAACTGTTGTGGATTTCATTGACTGATGCCAAGTTTTTGTTTGACCGCCGCTAGCTTTTTTCCAGCCTGACCCTATATCCGCTAACATTGCTCGTCGAGGGAGGCTATGACTTGGCATACGTAACACATGTCCTAACCATCTCAGTCTTTGTAGCTTCACGACTTCGTCGATTGATTTCCCCTGTTTACCTAGAACTCGACGCCTGACCTCAATGTTGCTCACCTTATTATGCCACTTTACACGGGAAATAGAGCGCAGGCACCTATGATCAAAGACAGCTAGTCTTTTCATGTCTTCCACTCTCAGTGGCCAGGTCTCACATCTTGCCATAAAGGAGGACGGAGCGGACTGATGAGCAGTACACCCGCCCTTTGGTCGATAGTCGAACACCTCGTCTACTAAGCCAGAGTCGGCGTAAACTGGCAAATGCGAAACGAGCCCCCTGTATTCGTGCTGAGATTTCGTCAGAGATCAACCCGTTGGCACTGGCTGATGGTACTTCCCAAATAAGTGAAGCAGTCAACGTGCTCTACCACTTCACTCCCTATTTCTAATGTAGGAGTCGATGTAGTCCAGTCCTGTAACATCATTTTGCATTTGGCGGGAGCGAATCGCTCGCATGCCAAACATTCGTAGATTGCGGCTCAAGGTGTTTAGAAGACTCTGCATTTTGTCAGAGTCGTCTCCTAGAAGGACTATATCGTCTGCATATTCTAAGTCAACGAGATTATTCCCTGGTATCAAGTCAATCCCTGAGTCACTGAAGTGAGTTAGGGTTAAGTTCATTAGTACATCTGTGATGAAGTTGAATAGAAAAGGGGATAATGGGCATCCTTGACGGACACCACTAGTCGTCACCAGTTCAGATGACATCTCGCCGTAAGCACTCACCTGGCTGTATGAGTACGAGTAGAGTGAGTACCTTAATCAGTGCAATTTAATTTCTCGGCATTTCCTTTACAGCCAAGCATCTCCAGAGAACCTCTCGATCGACAGAGTCGAATGTCGCCTTTAGGTCAAGAAATATAATGACTGTTGGACGCCGGTAGGAATTCCTATGTTCTAGAATCTGTCGGAGGGTGAAGATATGATCAATACACCCTCTTCCTGGTCTAAAGCCTGCCTGGCTCTCTCGTGTTTGTGCCTCCCGAGTACCACTTAGTCTACGCATGATTATTGAGCCTAAGACTTTAGATACTATATTAGTCAAGCTAATCCCTCTGTGATTATCACAGGAAGACTTGTCTCCCTTCTTGTATATGGGGATAATCAGTGACTTACACCAACCCGATGGGACTTCTTCTGATTCCCAGACGCTGCCTAATGATTGTGGGCAAGGTGTGTAGGCTATAACCTGCATGCATGCGCCTCGCCCCCGATGATGTTTGGCCCCTTTTTCACCGTTTAAGCGATCCCGTTTAGCATGCCATTCACGGGTGTGTTGCCCCGCATGCACCCCCGTTTCGCGCTGGACTACATATACGCTGAGCTGATACACTGGCGCCCGGGGTTGCAATCTCCAACATTTAATTCCCCACATTTGGGAAACCGGTGTGTAGGATAATTGGAGTAAGACATTAAGTAGTGGGTCACTCAACTCGCGTGCCGGTGAAGAGTCGTGCGTCGACAGTTCAGCGGTGGAGTGTTTGCCGACAAGGCATGTCGTTCGGAGCTCGATCCCCGGCCGACGTACACAGAAATCTTTCTTAGGCGGTAATAAGATCAGCAAAGACGGAGGGATGGGTATGAGACTGGCAACCACTGCTACCGAAACTTCAAAGCTCTAGCGCTATGTTCCACTGGGAACGTGAAAGAATAAAATAAATAATATAAAAGAAAGTACCTGAACACACAAATATTCGGGATAAATATGATTGCGACGAAGAGCTTTCCAACACCATTCTGTCTGTTTTCGACATAGAACTTTGCACCGATGTGCGGCAGTTCAAGTCGCCACACTCCATGTAGCACACAAAGCAAGAAAGGAAAGTAGGAGAAATACATAATAGAGACAGTAAACAGAGATGTAACAAGACGAAGAAATAGTAACAACGAAGAACAATATAGTTTCATTGGAAAACATAAGTCACAAGGAGTGGATGCATCTGCACCAACCATTGAGAACGATTTTGAGCCATATCACCAATTGTTTCCAACCATAGATTTTTACCGTCCCAACGACCCCAACCAGGAAGCCAGTCTACACCTTCCTACGTGGCTTAGACTCACTGTCGTAGATTTCATTGACTGGTAAAACCATGTTTTGGCTTGATTGCTGCTAGCTCTCTCTTTTCTAGCCTGGCCCTATATCAGCTAACATTTCCCGTTGAGGAAGGCGATGACTAGGCATCCGTAACACATGTCCCAACCATCTCAGCCAATGTACCTTCGCAGCTTTGTCGGTTGATTTCCCCTCCTTACCTAGAACTCGACGCCTAACCTCAATATTGCTCACCACTTCACACGGGAGATAAAGCGCAGGCATCTATGATCAAAGATGGCTAATCTTTTCATGTCTTCCCATCTCAATGACCAGGTTTCATAGCCATAAAGGAGGACGGAGCGGACTGATGAGCAGTACACCCGTCCTTTGGTCGATAGTCGAATATCACGTCTACTAAGCCAGAGACGGTGTAAACTGACATATGCGAAACTAGCCCTCTGGATATGTGTGATTATTTATACAGTCACTAAGATAACTTATCTTCGCAGTGACTACTTCACAGCAAGCTTCACGGAACTGTTTATTCTTATCCGTATATCTGGATGAGCTTGTAGAACTTAATAAAACTTAGCTGTACTATCTAAAATTGAAAGTGATCGTCTGACAATTCACATTAATTAGTCTAAACGTTGTTTTGTTTGCGCAAGCTTTTCTTAAGATGACGACTACGAGAAGTACTTTCTTTCACTGAAGAGACGAATATTGTTTTAGGGTATTTCAGCAAATAAACAGTGTAGTAGTTCTGAGCTTAGTGATGATAAACTAATATGACGCAGAGAGTCAAAGCACCAAGAAAAAAAAACTCAGCTTTCTACAGTGTCACTATATCTACTCCTTGAAAAAAAAGTTAAATTTGTGTTATTAAGTGTTTTATTCTCTTGATAAATAATATTTATATAACTGAAGGCAGATCGTCTACATAATTTGAAGGAAATAAACCGGATCGTCCATCAGATGTACGACCACGCCACCAATTTTCATCATCACGACTAATTACTTCGATTACATCACCACGATGTAAGGATAATTCACCGACATCCTTTGCAATGAAATCGAACCTAGCTATAACACGATCTAATTGGAATTTTCGAACATTTGTAGGGAAACGCTAAAATCAAATGTATAAAACAAGAACAAATAACATGAAATGGAAGTTAACCTAAAATGTATTAAGTGTGAGATAGTATGAACAATAAATAAAGCATTTTATTAAATTTATGGAAGTTAATGCATAGGACACTTTAAATGTTCTCTTTACTAATATTTACTTCAGAGATAAGACTGAAATTTTAGGATCTTTCATCTACCTGTAAAATTTGGAAAGTCATTATTCTAATCCACAGTGCTAATCGTGACCTTATTATTATTATTATTATTATCATGATTACTTCCTCGGGTTCCCCAAGTAGAACACAAACATCCTCAACGGCACATTTTGTCCTCTTCAGTCTTTTTTTTAAAGTGGCTTCACGATTGTTCACAAACTCTAATATCCACCTTCTAACAAGACCTCCTCCTCCTCCTTTGACTGGACACTAGTAACTAGTGTTCGATGCTGAATAAATTCTATCAGTCAGCTTTGCAATATGGCCACACCATTCTAGGTAGCACGCCATCACTCGTCACAGTGCAAACCTGGCTGACATCAGTCTGCCTCAAACAAAGTAATAGACAAATCTCACCAATGTTACTAATGTTCAATCAAAGTATCCAACAGAGTCCTACAGGAGGCCAATCGCCAGCCCGAATAGCTCAGTGGTAACGTCTCTCTCTCTCTCTGACTGCGGCATTGGGTGACGCGGGTTCGAATCTCAGAAAGGACATGAGTTCTTTGAAGGTTGCAAGTACGCCTTGCTGATTAGTGAGTGCCAAATAACACGAAACCTAGGTCCTAGACTTCCTATGACCGATTGCCTCCAACCATCTAGTACGACCTCATCCATGTGTCAACCCCTTGAACCAAGTCCACTTCGTCGTTTGCCTTTAGGATCCCACTTGAGGGCTAAGTGAGTCTAGAGTCACTCAACAGTATCCTTAGTGTGGGTCCGATCCATCCACATTCACGGCTGTGAATTTGTTCAGTAATCGGTTACCGGTTGGTTCGTTGCAATGCAAAGTTTCTTGTAGGTCATCCCTTGCATATCTAACCTTTAGTACGCAGCCAGTGAGGGTAGCTGTTGACTGACGTCTGATGAAAATGCTTTCCATGACGCAGTAAGTCTCTGACATTAGTGTTGACGATAATAAATCTGTACCTTAGGCTCAGTGTGAAGCAGATTAAGAGACTGATTTTAGTGTGATAAAGATCTGTCTTGCCATTTCAATCCTGCGTGGCTTTGATGCCCTCATCCGTACCGCTTGTAGACTAGGCAAATGGAAGAAGTGACTTCCATAAAATTTCTGCCAATGATAGAGATCATTACTTGTTGCTGGTTACGTATATTCATCACCTGTGCCTTTTCTACATTCACTGGAAGTCTTGTCTTCACTGACAGCCTTTTCTTCCGATTTCTTGGTTTGCAAAGGCAGATTTTTTAGTTTGTGTGACATAAAATATAAGTCATCCGCGATGTCCAGACCTTATGGAGTCTCCTTGTCGGCATAACGCATCCCCGCCTTCTCAGGCAGTCCGCACGGTCTGTCACATGATCCAGTCTACTAAAATCACCTATGAAACTAGACAGTTTTCTCTTCACTTCAAAGACTTCGCTGTGTTTTCCGTTCTGAACTATTTGACATGTGACATCATCACATAGCTGTTGAATACGAATGTGTTGAATGAAGTTGATTAATGTTTGGGGCACAGTGTAGTGCTGAGGCATTTTCCATATGACTTAACCACGAATGCTATCGAAGGCTTTTCCAGAATCCCTGACTACTGTTGAGGGCGTATTTTGGTTTCTCCCGAGACGTGATTTAACATTTTGGTTAACATAAACAGGAGCAATTTTTGCAGAAGCCTGAGTCGCTGCTTCCTCAGAGATTCGACAGGGAAGTTTTCTGTCCAATCCACAGCTGGATTTCTTTTTTCCTCTAACTTTCGCTAATACTGGCACCACCATATCCGTTAAGGAATCTGGATCCGTTTTCAGTGCTTTCGAAAGAATTATATCTGATCCTGCTGCCCTCTCGGATAGCTTCCAATGACTTTATGGTATTCAAGAGTTCTGCTTATGTTGGAGGATTGGTGTTCACTGACAGTTCTGTGACTATTGGTGTTATTTCTGGACAAGTTGTAGGTGGTGGTCGTTCCAAATGATCAGCTCATTGTTTCCTTTGTTTATACCCTTTGGTAATAATTAGGTTATTTCCCTATCTTTCATTGGTTTTATCTGTGTTGATATCTTTCCAGATAGCCAACTGATTACCTTCTACAGTGTCGTGAGGTCTCTCTTACTCGCATCGTGTTGTGTTCTAGTTAACGGTGATGTACAGCTGTCTTTTGTCTTGCTTCTCATTTCTCTTTACTTCCTTACTTAGCGGAGTTGGAAAGTGAATTCAGTTTCTCCTTACATTTCCACGTTTACTTGCTGTTTCACCACCTCTCTCTATTCATTTAGCTTCCAGGTGTCTATAAATGGCCATTACGTGTCTTATTAATTCTTCCTTCCTTCCACATCCTTTTCAGAGAGTCCTCCACATAGGTCTCCTTGGTGATGCCTCGGCCTTAATTTTCACAGGTTTGCCTCCTCTGAACACCGCTCAGTCTGTGGATAATTATAGAATCCAAAATGTTCCCTGTGATTATCATCACAGGAAGACTTGTCTCCCTTCTCAAAAACTAGGGGGCAATCAATGATTTACACCACTCCAACTCGACTACTTCAGATTCCTACAAACTAACTACCTAATATTTTCGTTAAGTTAACCCACACACACACACACACACGCACGCGCTATATGGAATCACTATCCTCCCTAAATACTTCCGAAGTCACTCCATCAGATTACAAACAGCTGTTACACACTCAATTACGGATGGATGACCGAGGTCTACATCCCATACAGGTAGGTAGGTACTGGATGATGGTTAAATTTAGCATGGCTGTAGATGAAGTCGGTTGCTCTTCTAAGTGTTCCCTTCAACTTCCTAGTAATTAATCCTGGGAGGCAATTAAAACATCACTGTTCTCGGAAATTCTTTCTTTTATCATAAATTTATTGCAATTTGTTCCACTAGTGAGTATAATTAGTTGTCTGGTGTCACCTAACGCCGATATACTTCAGAACTCATTGGTTGTCATCACCTATCACTGGTTTACAGTCGTTGCAGAGACTTATAGTCAGCTTGCATTGAAGCACCTTTCACTCCGTATCATGCTCGGGGCCCAGCCCATCTGAACTAACTACACCTCCAGGAGAAGCGCAGTCAGACGATTACTGAGGACATTTTAACATAAGCATCATGTTGACCGTTATGCCAGAGGTAAACAGTGAACTCCCCGTTCTCTACTGTTTAACTTTCACTAATAGTATTCTTGTATATTTTACGCCTTTTATTATTGCATACGTGACTTGTGCCATCAATTTTCATTCCTAAACCACTGAAGAAACGAGGCGCTATTTTCAGTCCACTTTCACTTTCTATTTTCTGAAGATGATTCAATAAAAAAAGCAGCTATTTTGGTGGTGGAAATGTCCGCAGCACTAATTCTGACATGTCAATTTACCCATTTTCAGCCAACAGTGAGTGTGTAATAAATTGGTGGATGGTGACTTGTAGTGGAATCCAGGATAAGGCGCATTTTTTTCTAGTCGGGACTCCCCATACGGATGTACACCTGCATTCCCCCATCGATGGTGGTGGGGTTCCCACTGAGGCTCTCATGGTCCAGTCCAGGTAGTCTAGTGGATAACGTTTTGGTCATTGAAACGATGGGTATACTGGATTCGACCACCAATTGAGGTGGAGAGGAGGGAAACATCATCACTCTCACTGGGGAATGCAGGTGCATCCCACTGGCTGGCAAGCCTCAAATAGGAGGAGATGCGCATCCTGGTGGATTGCACTGATAGTCACCATTCATTGATTTCCTTCAAGTTGAATAATCAGACATCGGCGAAGCAGCTGCACACGGAGACAAAATGTCAACCTGAGGTTGAGCACTTCGGTTCAATCACTCAACAAGTAAGTCAAAATTGAATTAAATATGTCATTATGTACTGTTTACACAGCATTTCTTTTTATAACAGATTAGTTTACCACTGATAATTTCTTAGATTGTTTGCAAGCAATGAAAATTCCACTAAGGACAAAATGAAATTCGATTGTTTAGATACTGTCGCAACAAATGAAACAAGTATTAAGATTTGACTGATACTTTTTGTAGTACCACAGTGAATAACTCTGTATCTACTATCATCAGGCATACCCTTGATGAAATGGAAATACACAGTGTATGTCAAACTTTACATTTTTAGTCATTCCTCTGCATTTCAAGTGAGATGCATAAGGCTTCGCAAGCCTAAGCTGTGAGGTTTCAGTAGCAGTGGAGCTGGTAGCCTCACGATCCCCACCCAACCTTCCCTCTTCACCGAGTCTACTCCCCACTATGCAAGGTTTAGGAAGTGAGTCGACCTAAAATCGACCCTGGGCACACGTGTGAGTTCGGTGAGAAGTCTACTGTTGGGTCTCATATGTTGAATGGATTTTTAAAAACTGACCATCTAAAACTGCAGTAGCAGTAGTTCTCTGTGAGACGCAAATAATCCCTATGAACACAGTGCACAGCGTCAACGGTTCAGTGGCAGAATCCTGGCCAACCACGTCTCACGTGATCCGGAGTTCAATCCCCGGCTTTACCTCACTTAGCCGGTAGTAATAAGTCCAGTAAAGAGAGAAGGTTGGAAGGGGGACCTGAGGCTATCAACCCTGCTCCGTGAAAAGACACAACACCAGAGTGATAGTGAAACTTCGAAGCCCTAGCTTAAGATCCTATATTCCATAGGGGACGGGGAGGGGGGGACGCATAGGAATAAAATAATAATGAGTACAGAAATAAACGAAACAAGACAGAAGAAAATTGAGAAGGTGAATGAATGACAAAAACACTCACTTTGGATGGGACAAGATCGACTAAGGTTAGCAGACGATTACGTGATATACTTGTCTTTCGATGATGATCAATTAACTGATTGATAGAGTCAAATTTAGACAACCAGAAAAAATACTTTCCAGCTTCATCTTGAAGTACCTTAAAATGGAGTACTTCACAACCTTGCCTTATAGGAAAAAAAGTAAGACAACATATAAAACAAAAAAGAAGAAATGAAACAGAAAAAAAGAAAAAACTATGGATTAAAACATTGAGATAGGCAGAGAGAGATGAAAAAATTTCGACAAATTCACTCACCTGAAAGATATATATGAAGGAAGAAAGAAAGGAAGATAATACAGTGTCATTTCAAGTCAGTAGATCAGCATTAAGTTGCGTTATTCTGGAGAATAAATGATACCCTGGATGCAGAACTACATCAGCCGAGAATAGGCTGGATTCAGGAAATAAGAATAAAACTTGTGCACTGTGGTAGAGTGTAATTCCATTATGGGTAAATTTTGTTTTGATAAAGTCTCACAGTGTTATACAGTAATGTTTACTGATGACGTTTCGAGCACAATTTATTGCTCATAATCATATCAAGGTATTCACACGACTTCCTAACTTCATTTATATAGTTCCATTGTTTTTCACTTGATTTGATTGGCAGTAGTACTTTCCATATTTCAGGTATGATTAATGACTCATTCCTATTGCATGTGTTTGGTGTAGACTCGATGAACAAGGATTCAGTAATCAACCTCTCTCGCTCTCCACCTATCTAAATTACTTTTTAGGATTTTAACCCTCTCCCACCATGCTATTGTGTGGTTGTGTGTTATTGCATGCATTGCAATTGCTGAGCTTTTTTCTAAATTACTTATCTTCTCGGGGTCAACCATTCTTACCTTAGCTAAATTCTTATGTTCTGACAATCTGACTACCCCTGACCTACTAGTTTGACCTGTGTAGTTGACTGTGAGGAAGTCGTGTGATTACCTTGATATGATTATGAGCAGTAATAAATTGTGCTCGAAACGTCATCAGTAAACATCACTGTATAACACTGTGAGATTTTATCAAAACAAAAATTTACCCATAATAGATTCAGGAAAGGCAAATCATATGCTGATCGAATTGCAACTTTACGCATCATCACCAACGAACAGAGAATAGGTTGGAATTCAAACCTCTATCTCAACTGTATCAAGTTTGAAAAACTTCGACTGAGAAGTAATTTAAAAACCACTTTAACACTGTGGAGTGCAGTGATCAAAACCTTCATCAACCTTATTCAACAGCTGGCTATATGAAAATGCCACGTGCCTAGTGATCCATAACCGAAAACTCAGAGAAGCCTTATAAGTGAATACACGAGTAAGACACGGTTGTCTATTATCACAGATGATTTTCTCAATTGTGGTGCACTGGATTATGCATCAGATCGTGCACAGGGAGCGAGAAGACAGGAATACGCTGGACCACCGGTAAGAAGACTCGACAAGATCTGGATTTCGCGGGTCGATGACTTATATTTAATGTCACACAAACGCCACGACTTGAAGGCTTAAACTAACTCTTATGGATTTGTTTGACTGATGAAGCCATATTTTGGTTTGACTACCACCACCACCACCAACGCGTGCTGGCTCTTCCCCAACCTCATCCTATGTCAGCTAACATTGCCCTTCAAGGAAGGCGATCGATATCTAGGCATGCATGCGTAACACATGTCCTAACCACCCCAACCGATGTAAATGCTTCACAATCTCGTCGACTGATTTCCCCTCCTTACCTAATACTCAACACCTAATCTCAATATTACTTACCCTATTATACCATCTAACATGGGAGGCAGAACGCAGATACCTATGATCAAAGACACCTAGACTTTTCATGTCTTACCCCATAATTTCTTAATCAACTTCATTTTTAGGGTTGGCTGTGAAGATGTCCAGATGAAGATAATGAAAGTTTCAAAATTAAACCGGAGAGTCAATAGAACACGACATTAAAAAAACTATCTGCACAACTAATCCTTCTGCATTCATTTTTAAGCAATGCCTTCGGAGTAAAAAATACAGCTATCATGCTTAAGTAACACCATACTAAATATCATAAATCCTCATATCAAAGGAGGGGTTGTTTATAGTCATATATATATATATATATTCCTTCACGTTCCCCAGTGGAACATAGGGCCTCAAGTTAGTGGCTTGAAGTTTCTGTAGCAGTGTTTATTTTAGAGGATGGGGTTGCTAGCCTCATGCCCAACCTTTCCTCTTTACCAGCATTATTTCTGGCTTAGCGAGGTAAAGGAGTGCGTCGGCCGGGAATCGAACCCCAGACCATGCGCATGGTCGGCGAGCATCCTAACCGCTGTGCTACCGACGCACGAGTCAGATATATTAAAACCTACAAATCAACACTTGAATATTAATCTGATGCTCACAAGCGACTCTCCCTATTCAGCTAGGGGTAGTTTACTTGAGTGGATTCTAAGGGGAATTCATGACCAGTAGGGAGGGTACTGCAGCAGGTCGAGTATGAGGATATCTACTCGCCATCGATGCACATTGGCTAGCGCCAATCACTCTATACCGTACGTATTAGCGTGAATTAACAGAAATTGGAATTCATGCACTAGTCATTGGATCGGGTCCCAGTCACTGTATGGTCTACGAGCTCACTCACCTTGTGTAACCGGAATGTCATGGTTATCGAACCCTGGTAGTGAGTACGTACTGATGAGGAGTCCTAAACGATGGACAACAGAAACAGCTAGCTGTCCAATACTCCTGACTGATTTTCCAATAGTTCTCTAACCGTTGTCAACTCATGATGAAATCGGGTAACCACATAAAACTTTTGCATGTTGGATGCTAAGGGACTAACTAAGCATAGTTATCTGCAAATATCATTTAAAAAGAACTAGATCAGAGAGCTTTACAACTGATTTAGCTAATACACAAGAAGAAAATCTATAACATTTTCATGGTCATATAATCAATCGAAGTGCTCTACTTTTGTTTCTAACCGCATACCTATATACTTCTAGTTGGATAGTTGGATGCGGTGTTTGTAGAATGTCGGTGAGCGAATAAACATGTTTCAGAATGTCAATTTAGCCTATTAGTATCAAAACTCACAGTTAATGATGTCTAGAGACTTAACCAAAAGCAAACTAAAGTACATAACTATACAAAAGAAAAGGCGTTCAGCGAAGAGTTACTTATCTTTTCGGTGATATCATTCTCAAGCTGTACAATCGAATGTATACATTTTTATATTATAGTTAAATAATCTGAGCAATAGAAGTGATTTTTCTTCAAAGGTGTGTCATTAGAATTGTACATTTTTTGGATAACAAATTGCGTATAGTAGAAAGCGTTAATCGGATAGAAACTAAAATTAAATTCAATAAGTACGTTGAGTGACGTTAATGCAATTGATGTGATTGATTGGAATGCAACTGAAATTCGAATGACAGTCAAGTTAACTAACAGTGGTAATTAAAGGCTACCTAGAACGTTTTGTCACAAAATCCATGAAGACTAAACTACTAAAACTACTCCCACACATTCTGTCTCTAAAATACTTCTCTACTTGAATGTACAGTTTTCAACGGAGACTCATTAGGCAGAAATACTGTGAAACTGTCTGTTCAGCTGCTCATTGAAGAAAGCCTTCTCCGCAGCTGAACTTGTGACTAACCTCCTCTACAAAACCAATGATTCTTATGAAGACGAAGAATAAGCTATAGCTGTTGGACTCATCAATATGCATCCACCAAATTCACCTGTTCATGTGGAGCTAGGCATGTTGACTGTACCCAGCGTCTGCTATCCAAACGTATTACCGAACACTCACCCTAATGATTTCAAAAAGGAGGAAAAAGCTTCCTCTACCGTAGCTCTATTCTGGAACACAAACCAACTTCAAATTTGTCTACAGAATACATGGGAATCTTGCTAAAATAGTACGAATCAAAACTCAAAAGCAATGGCGATTCACACATATTAAATCCAGAACTCTACATACAAGAGAAGTTTGTTCAATCATTCGAACTACAATGGACCCGATTCATCCTAACACCAAATACGTATTTCTGTGTGTCTTTGAGTTTTCACACTACTTTAGATCAAATTTACCAATTAATTAAAAAAAATCATAAGACAAGAAAGTTCAAATTCCAAGTGACTAAAAATGACCCAGAGAAATGTAAATTAACAACCAATCACTGCAGTAGATACCAGAAGATACACAATTATAACATCATTTATAGAGAAAGAGAGAATTCAAATAAGTTCGTTTCATACTGAAACTTGCGCTAAAGATGTTGTCCAGACGGACAGTGAAAGCTTCGCAACTAGATCAAAAAAAATAGAACCTGAGCACAATGATGTAGTAAAAATTTACATTTTACTTGGTACAGCACATACACACGCATATTAGGCTATAGAGTATTATTTAAATTACTCAAGATATTCTGAGCACAAGTTATTGTTCATAGTTCAAGGCATTCACGTAATTCTCATTTCAAGTGTTAGTTTGTAGGAATTCGACCGGTTACAGGTTTCGATAACGAGCTAACATCAGTTAGAGAACTGTTGGGAAGCCCAGAGGTACTGGACAGCTGTCTTGTAATACATTGGGACTTTTCAGCAGTACGCATTCACTGGGATTTGGTCTCAAGACCTTCCCGGTCGCAAGGCGAACTCGTAGACCATTCAGTCAGTGGGACCCGACGTAATGACCTATGAATTCCAACTCACGATATATATATATATATATATATATATATATATATATATATATGGCCAGTAACTTCTGTTACGTGACTTAGTGTCTTTATTTCATTTTTAAGTTGATGGTGGAAATATTGTTTCCATATTTGCAGTGCCAGTGTTGTTGCGTGTTATTCCTCCTGTATGTGTCATCAGTGCAGAGTTATGGTCCTGGAATAAAACCAATAACCTAGAAGAAGCATGCGCTAATTAAACGACCACGCAATAGCGCCACTGTCGCAAAGATTAGTACATAATAATAAAATGGTGGGAGGGGTTGGACAGTGAATATATGTTACCTCACACACACACACACACACACTCAGAGGTGGAGAAACAGCAGAGTCAAAATAGATTACCATTGAAATGACTACGAGCAGTAAGTTGTGTTCGAAAT